GTGCCGCGCTTCCACGCCCACCTCGGGACTCGGCCATAAAGCCAGTGCTGGAGCGGTCTCATATGTAACAAGCCGAGCGATGTAAGTGCTGCTGCGGCCACCATATGCCCCAGAAGCCTCTGAAAAAGTATCAGTGGGAACGCTGTCCTGCCCTTGAACGTATTCAAGCAGGCTAGCACCGACCTCGCACGTTCCTCTGTGAGGCGCGCTGTCTGTTCGACCGAATCCAACTCCATACTGAGAAAAGAGATCCTCTTCGTCGGGGAGAGTTTGCTCTTTTCCCAGTTGACCCGAAGGCCCAACAGGCGGAGGTGTGAAAGTACCAAATCCCTGTGTTCGCACAACTGATCCTGAGACTGAGCGAGTATGAGCCAGCCGTGCAAACCACAGCATGCCTGGAGACCTGTTCTAGGGGCACTCCTGCCCGGAGGAACGCAAGGTCTGACCACGGGGTGAAGGTTTGGTGACTTGGACCTGGTGAGTGCCGCATTGCCATGCCCACCTCGGGACCCGGCCATGAAGCCAGTACTGAAGCGGTTTCATATGAAGCAGCCACAGCGGTGTAACTTCCACTGCAGCTGCCATGTGCCCCAGGAGCCTCTGAAATAGTTTCAGTGGGACCACTGTCCTGTCCTTAAATTAATTCAAGCAGTTCAGCACCGACCGCGCACGTTCCTCTGTGAGGCGTGCTGTCTGTTCGACCGAATCCAACTCCATACTGAGAAAAGAGATCCTCTGCGTCGGGGAGAGTTTGCTCTTTTCCCAATTGACCCGTAGGCCCAACAGGCTGAGGTGTCAGAGCATCGACACATGAAAGTACGCGTCCTTCAGGTCGATTGCTGCAAACCAATCTCGGGGACGGACGCACCCGAAGATGCGTTTCTGCGTCAACATCTTGAACGGTAGCCGATGAAGGGCCCGGTTCAAAACTCGCAGATCCAAGATTGGCCGTAACCCACCGCCTTTCTTGGGTACAATGAAGTAAGGGCTGTAAAACCCCGACCTCATATCGGCTGGAGGGACCAGCTCTATCGCATCCTTCACCAGTAGGACTGCGATCTCTGCCCGCAGAACAGGGGCATCGGCCGTCCTCACTGTAGGGAAGCGGATACCGCTGAACTTGGGGGGACGCCGGGCAAACTGAATCGCATAGCCGAGGCTGATAGTCTGCAGAAGCCAGCGAGACGGGCTGGGTAGCGATAACCAGGCGCCCAGAAACCGTACAAGCGGGCCCAGCGGAACCACAGCCGTACCCGCAGTGGGGCAGCGAGGTGGAATACAGGGACCCAACTTGGGCGGCTTGTGAGCGGCCCGGAGAGGGGTGTGAGTGTGGGGTGCAAGGCTCACCTGGTTCCACGGGTCGCCCTCCTGGGACCCAGAGACAAAGGAAACTGCTCTTTTGTCGAGAATTTGGGTACCGTCAGCCGTGAGGCCAACGGCGGGAAAAAACGAAACAAAAGATTCTCCACCCGGCCCTCCTCCGGGGGAGGGAGTGGTGCGTTCACCATCTCCCGAAGAGCAGATCCTTCCATCTCTGGGTCGCCTGTCTCAGGGCCGCTTGCTTCTCCGCTTGCCGCCAGGTTTGACGGGGGCCTGGACAGGCGGAGCGGCCCGGCTCCACGACCCCGCTTTGCTGAAGGCTGCTGCGGATGTGGCGCGGGAGCGGAGGCGGACGTGGGGGCCCGCCCTCAGCGACGAGCAGGCTGGGGCGCTGCAGCCGGCGGACGGGTGGAGGCAGTGGATCGCCTCAGTCTGCTTTTGGGCAGCCGAGAACTGCTGGGCAAAGCTCTCGACTGCGTCGCCGAAGAGGCCGGTCTGGAACACAGGGGAATTATGGAACCGAACCTCGTCGATGTTACTCATGTCTGCCAGACACAGCCAGAGATGGCGTTCCTGGACCACAAGCGTGGACATCGCATGACCCAGAAAACTCACGGTGACCTTCGTCGCTCGGAGCGCGAGATCAGTGGCAGTTCGGAGCTCTTTCAGAACTTCCGGATCGTGACCACCCTCGAATCTTCATCGGACAGCTCTCCCTCCGATGCTGAGTTCGACTGGATATCGCTGGTACGCTCTTTGAAGAGGGCCCAGTGCGTTCCGTGGGTCGCTCCACTGGATCGGATGTGCAAGAGGAGTGATGGTCCCCAGAGGGTTGGTTCCCTGCGGGGTTTGCCATCACTGTAACCCTCAAACCGCCCGCGCTACTGCTGGAAGTGGTTCTCGTCTGTCCGCCAGAACGAGCCCCAGATCGCGGCAGCGGCAACGGGACTCCGTTGCATTGCACCTGCTGCCTTATTATACTCACGCTGTGATCGGCGGCAGCTGGATGCAATAATTGCATGCCAATGTGCATTGGCTCGTTTAGTTTACACTCGAAGTAGATTGGTCTATCGAAGCGATATCCCAATTCCTCGGTCACCGACGTGACTCGGAGTGACCGACTGAAAGGGAACTGAAAGCAATAATGTGAGCACATAAAGAGAAAGCTGATAAAATAAACACAACCCAAGAAAATTTTAAGAGAATATGAAGATGCATTATTCTCAGACTGGTATATTGTAATCTTACTCAGACAAGGATGATTAAAAAACCATATTGCTATCATAGAAATAACAAATTGATTATTTATTATTCCCCTGCTTAAACAGAGTGCTTTGATAAAGCACTCTATATTGGAATGGCTACTAGGGCAGACCTCAAATACTGTATCACCTCTGCTTATGTTCATGCTAAATTTAATTAGGCAGATGTATTCAGTGCTGTATTTAGTATTGGAGTATTCAAACCTATAGCCTGTAAATAAACTTATGTATTGCTCTTTTGCCTTCTTTCCATGTGTCACAAACACCCCTAGGTAAGGTCTAATGAACACATCTCGCTATCTCAAAGGTATTATTATTATTATCTCCACCTACACAAAATTTGTTGCAAATGTTACAGTCGTTTTCAACAAATATGTCTGTGTGCTGTTAATATCACCTCAGATGAAAACACTGACCTGCTGTGGAGCCCACTTCTGTCCTTTCCTTAAGACCATGAGGACAGTGTTGCCTTTTAAGGTCTGAAAAAAGTCCTCTGTATCCACTCCAGTTCCATCCTCATCCAACACTAAAGCACTGACGAAGTCCATGTGGAATACGTCCATCACCTAAAAGCGAAAAATCATTCAAAGAGCTTTAGAGCAACTGTGATGGAATTTCAAGCAGTGTTTCTGTTCCTGGCTGGCTCTATATGGCACTAACCCTCCAACTTTTGAGTTATCACATATATTTATTTGTTCTATACACTACTATATTAAGAGCCAAAGTAAATAACAGTTCTAATGGAAACATTATGTGATCCAACGTGTAACGAGGGATCAACGGAGTGAGTATCCATGAGCAGCTTTATTGAATAGAAGAAGTCAGACAGGCAGGGTTCAATCGCAAACAGGGAAATCAGAGGCAAGACAATGGTAGCGTCAGTGAACAGGAGAAAGGTTGCGGCAGGCAGCAAACATTACAAACGTTAGTCCAAGCAACAGAGCAAAGAGTCCAAGGCAGGCAGCAAACAATCGAGAAACAGGTAACAGTCCAGTGTAAAACACAGTAATCCAATTGAGAAATACAGAGAATCCTCAGCAATGTCAGCCGGGGCAATACAGACTTCGCAATGTGTTTGTGTGCAGCTTAGATAGTCCGGATAATAAGTGAGGGGTCGAGGATGTCCTCAGAATTTACCCGAGACCGCTCCTCCGGTCCATACCCCTCCCAGTCCACGAGATACTGAAGAATTCTTCCCCTGTGTCGGGAATTCAGGTTTTCTCGCACCTGGTAAGCCTCCTCTAGGTGGTCCACCCCTCTTGGAGCACCAGTGGCTTTAAGTAGTGAGACATGAAAGGTGGGTGAGATACAATATTCTGGTGGTAATGCTAAACGATATGAAACAGGCGTAATTTGTCGGATGATTTTGAATGAAACCATGTACCTGGGACTGAGTTTGCAGCAGGGTAGCCGGAGACTAAGGTTACGTGTGGAGAGCCAGACCCACAGGCCAGGAGTATATTCGGGGGGTAGGGTGTCGACGACGGTCAGCACACTCTTTCTGTCTTCTGACAGCTCGCAAAAGATGAGAAAGAGAACGGAAAAAAAAACGGAAAGAGAAAACAGAAAGAGAAAGCTCGATCTATATTATAGATCTATAGTATAGATCAGTGTTTCCCAACCGCGGTGCCGTCTGTCGAGAGCAGGGGTGCTGTGTAAAAATTTTTTTTTAATATTTTGAAATTGCTAAAATGTTCAAAAAAGCATCTATTATATAATATCCATATCTTAACCCTACTGTTAGACCTAGCTGAAAAACTAAAAAGCTATTTATTTAATTCGAAGGCCTGTCGTTATTTTTTATTTGTGCTATCATTATTCATTTCTTTGTTCTTATTTTATTACTGACTGCTTGTCATTTTTTATTCAATTCAAAGTTTGAAATCAAGCTATCTCGTGCTACTGCACCAAAATGACCCCACTGTAAAAGAAGAAAAACACTGAAGGTGCCGCGACTAAAAAAAGGTTGGGAAACACTGATATAGATCACGCTTTCTCTTTCCGTTTGCTCCGATTTTTAAACACTGAACTTCAAACTCATCTATGCCTTATTGTTCATTATTGAAGTAAACTTGTGTCTGTTTGGTAATTAAATAAACTGTTTTAGACCGCTGCTTGAGTTGAACGCGACACGTCCGAGTATGTGTGATACCGGTGAGTTCTCCTAGACTCAGCGCTGCGCTTTTATTTTAATTAGATAATCATCAAGCGTTCAAGAATAGAAGAAGTTAAAGTGTGAGAGTATACATACACTATCCATATGTATCAACCCTCTACATTGCGAGTAAATCACTCACATATGCGACTAAATCTTCACTCTGGGCGACTAGTAAACTTGTGTCTGTTTGGTAATTAAATAAACTGTTTTAGACCGCTGCTTGAGTTGAACGCGACACGTCCGAGTATGTGTGATACCGGTGAGTTCTCCTAGACTCAGCGCTGCGCTTTTATTTTAATTAGATAATCATCAAGTGTTCAAGAATAGAAGCAGTTAAAGTGTGAGAGTATACATACAATATCCATATGTATATAATTTTAATGCTATGGCCTTTGTGTATATATTTAAAGATGTGCATCTTTAAGCATGACTGTTGAAATGGTAACACTTTAAAATAAGTCCATTTGTAACATTAAGATTAATGAAAACTGTGCAAGTATTGTTCCTTGTTAGAGTGTGTTAATTTCAACATTTACTTTTACTATTATGATTATTACTACTACTAGTAGTAGTATGGTTCAGTACTGTTTTTTTAATGAATAACTATTTTAGTTTTTGTTCAGTATCCATTTTTAAAAACTATCGGTTAAGTAATCGTTATCGGCCAGTGTGGTCCATCCTAGCTATCGGTATCTGCAAAATCCATTATCGGTCGACCTCTAGTGTTGCCCATGGAATTAGGTAGGTCGGTGATGAAATCTATTGCAATGTGTGAACATGGCCATTGAGGGATAGGTAGGGTTGGAGCAAGCCTTCGGGCATCTGTCTGGAGGTATTACAGATGATACTGTGCTGGACATATGAGATGGTATCTGCCTGAAGCGTGGGCCACCAGAACTTGTTGGTGATAAGTTGGATGGATGCAGTCATGCCTGGGTGGCTGGAGCTGAGCTGGTTGTGGACATGCTGAATGACCTGTTTATGAAGGGCTGAGGGAACATAGGTCTTGTCTTGTAAGGTGGACATTCGTAAGAGGTGGTTCAGATTTTTAAGCCTCAACTATTTCTGCCATGTCCCATTGAACTGGAGCTATGATGAGAGTGGATGGTAGGATGGGATAAGGAGAGAGAGGTTAATAAGCAGACTCAAACTGATGGGATAAAGTATCTGCTTTAGTATTCTTGGACCCTGGGCGGTGGGTTACAGTGAACTGGAACCAGGTGAAGAACAATGCCCACCTTGCCTGCCTGTGGTTCATCCTTTTGGCGGTGCGAAGATATTCCAAATTGTGATGATCAGTCAACACTGTGAACGGGAATTTTGATCCCTCAAGCCAATGTCTCCACTCCAAAAAATGTTGCCTTCATAGCTAGTAATTCCCCACATTGTAATTTGCTCTGCTTGGCTCAATTTGTGAGAGAAATATGCACATGGAAAGAGTTTGGATGGATCACTGTGGCGTTGGGAGAGGATAGCTCCCGTGCTGGATAGATGCCCGTGCTGGAAGCAAGTATCTCCAAGACAAATTCACGTTCAGGGTCTGGATGATGAAAAATGGGGGCCGTAGTGAATCGTTACCTTAAGTGCAGGAATGCATTGTCCACAGCCAGTGACCAGGATAAACAGATGTGTGCTTGAAGAGAGTCTGAATAAATGAGAATGTAATCGATGTATACTATGACCCAACTGTTGAGTATGTCATGGAAGACATTGTTAATGAAGGCCTGGAACACGGAGGGACTATTGACAAGCCTGAACGGCATAAGCTGATATTTATAGTGCCCAGAGGCTGTGGAGAAAGCTGTTTTCCACTCATCCCCCTCTCGAATACGGATCAGGTTGTGTGTGTGAAGACAACTTATTAAATTTAATGTGGGCTGCACTTTTTTTATTGGTCATTTTGTGTTTCAAGAATAAGGTCAAAGCTTAAGAATACGCTAGAAGTTACTTAAACGTAAAATGTTTTTCTCTATTTAACAAAATTACAGTAGTGAAAGATGACTTCCCTTATTGATCACAGCTCAGGTAGATTGCATGTTTTTTTGCGCGGCTGGATGTTGGACTTATGAAAAATAATAACGTTGTTTGCATTAGCCAAAACTGATTTGCTGAAGTCAAAACACGGACAGTGAAGGGAATTGGCGTTAGTGCGACCGCCGCTTTCTGTAAAGCGGGAGCAACCAGCCGGCAGAGGATTCTGCACGAGCACACCTGCTGCTTATTACCTGGACTATTTAAGCCGCACACACATTGCGAAGTCTTGTTTTGCCCCGGCTGACATTTCTGAGCGTTCCGTGTATTTCTCTATTGGATTACCGTGTTTGACCCAGGACTGTTACCTGCTTCTCGATTGTTTGCTACCTGCCTTGGACTCTTTGCTCTGTTGATTGGACTAACGTTTGTATTGTTTGCTGCCTTCCTCAACCCTCTGCCTGTTCACTGATGCTGCCACTGTCTCGCCTCTGATTTCCCTGTTTGCTGGTGATTGAACCCTGCCTGTCTGACTTTTTAATAAAGCTGCTCATGGATCCTCACTCCGATGACCCCCCGTTACAGAAGAAAACCGATGCAGCACAAGTCAACATTCTCGCTGCCCACCAGCAACAACTAACACAACTCACATCTCTAACTTAAGAGCTGGTAAAGACTTTACAAGCCCTACGGCTGCCTGCTCCTGAATCAAGTGCTCCACCACTGATTACAGCCACCAGCACCATGCCAATGGCACACTCCACTGCCAGTCCCCACCTAGAGTTTCCAGAAAGGTTAGACGGCACTCCTGCTAAATGTAAGGTCTTTCTACTTCAGTGCTCCTTGCTTGTCTCTCAGCAACCCATGTTATACCCCACGGATGAGAGTCGCATTTCATTCATTTGCTCTCTGTTGACTGGCAAAGCTTTAGACTGGGCTACGGCCATTTGGGACTATGATCGCTAGGGGTGCAACGGATCGTGGATGATCCGTGATCCGTACGGACCAGACCCCACGGTTCAGCACGCATGCGATTCGCGGATTAACTATTAAATTTAACCATCATAGAGTTATCTAAGCTTATCGTTTGCATGTGTTGTCTTGCCAATTTACCCATTCAAACAATTTTAAACCATTCAAGCAAAAGAGAACACGCGCACTGTTTTCTACCACTGCCGAACACATCCGAAGCAAGCACACGCAGAGAGAGAGAGGCGCGATTCACACAGATTGATTCCTCTTTCACTCTCTTTGAATGGAAACATACACACAAAGTTATATTAAAATACTCGTTTTGGCAAGTATTCTGGTAAAAACAGTCGGTTATGTCTTAAGTGAACCGAAACAGTTGAGAAAGAAAGTGCATGTGTGTCAGTATATTAGGTATGTGCATTTGGTTTTAAAGAGACAGCCGCCTAAAAATACCTGCCTCTGTCTGCTATATTTAACTTATGCAGTGAAGAGCACTATTGTGTTATTTTACAATTATTAAATTTCTGCACCTAAATACTAGTGTTACTGACATTATTATTAACTTTATGTTGTATTCATCCATGAATGTAATTTGTGTAATTGTTCTTGCTTGATTACTGACTTTATTAGCTCAGCTAGTAGTTTTTGCTGTGGTATAGAAGCACTTAAATAAGCTTTCAGTAATAAATGAAAAGCAAACTTTTTTTTTTGCTGATCCGAAAAATTATCCGATCCGTGACTCAAAATCCGTAATATGGTCCGAACCGTGAGTTTTGTGATCCGTTGCACCACTAATGATTGCCCCACTTTTTCCTCATTCAATGGATTTATTCAACACTTTAAGTAGGTGTTTGAATATCCCGAAGGGGGTCGCTTCGCTGGTGATCAACTTCTAGCACTTCGACAGGGGAGAAGTACAGCAGCGGAGTTCACTCTAAATTCCAGCACACTAGCAGCTCAGACAGGATGGCTTGACGACCCGCTTAAGCTTCTCTTCCACAATATAGAACTACAATTTGAACTCGCCTGTCGTGATGAGGGCAGAACCCTGGATCAGATAATTGAGCTTGCCGTCGACACAGACAATCTTATTCGCTCACGCCACCCACACAAGAACCAGTCTCTTCGATCCCACAGTCCCCCGCCAGTACCTAACCATGAACCCATGCAAGTTGGATATATACGGATTTCCCCAGAGGAGAGAGATGTCTCTACTGCGGTCAAGCTGGTCACATGAAGGTTTCCTGCCCGACACGACCCACACAGCAATCCTCTGCGGCGGTGAGTTTCCCTCCTCATACTAACAAGTGTGTTAAAGTACCCGTTGAGCTATCTTTTGATAAAGGATCTACTAAAACCACGGCCATGATAGATTCTGGAGCGGCTGGCAATTTGATTGATTCTGACTTTGTGAAAGCTCAGGACATTCCCCTCATTCCTTGTAAATCTCTGTTGGCAGTGGCAGCGTTAGACGGGAGACCCCTGGGGGCCAGTTAATTTCAACACACTACAAATTAGATCATCCTCACCACCATTCGCTTCTAC